GTAAAAATAAGTGTCTGGCTCTGGTGTGGGGACCCGCTTCCCTCCAGCCTTGGTGCAGCAGCAGCTTCCACCCCCCACCGCAGAGATAAGCCTTGTTCCATCCCAACAAACGCTTCCCTGTGCTCCGCGGGCTCCTCCTCCGCGTGTGTCCCGGGCAGCCCGCAGCTCCCGTCCCCCCGGGCGGCTGTCCCGGCTTGTTTCGTCCTTGGCGCTGCTGTTGTCAGCTCGGACCGGCTGAGAGCGTCCCGACTCTGCCGGAGCGTCCTTGGATCCAGTGTCACACCTGGGAACAGGACGCGGTCCAGGGAGTGAACTGGCACACCCCGAGCCGGGAGATGTGTTTGCTGTCCCTTGGTGTGATCGGTACAAGGGAAGGAAAGCCTGGCTGCGGTGGGCAGTGGGGCTGGATCTCCTCCGTGCAAAGGGGAGGGGCAGGGGGGTCTCTGGGATCAAGCCCCTCGGTGTCCAGCCCCCCTCCCAGAACAGGACCTGACAGGCAGACTTTGAACTGTTTACTCTGGACGTCCAAGGAAGCACTACTCTCCAGTTAAATGACTTTTTTCCCTAGCTGTCCTTTAACTCCTCATTGGTGCTCAGATAATCAGGATTTGTCTTGTTTGAAAGAGCTTAGGGGAAATAAAAGATTTAATCTTTTGTCTGCAGAGGCCAGAAGGAAGGGTTCCAGCTGTTTGGTGTTTTTCAGCAATGAGCTTTACTAATGTAGTAAATTTACCTTCTCTCTTGGCTCTCTTTTGAAATGTTCCACATTCAGTAGCGTTCCTGCCCTCTGCATCAGCTGAGGGAGAGGATCATCCACCTCATTCCTGACTCCTTTTTGGTGGTGTTCACTGGAGGCTGAAGGATTTGGGGAGCAATGAGAGCCAAGCCTCTGCAGAGAATGGGGGAAGCAATTTGGGAAGGGAGCTGTGGCAAAGCCTGGTTTTCCTTCGGCGCGACCCTCAAAACCTCCGCTTCAGTATTTTGCATGACAAGGTTTTCAGCAGGCAGGCTCTGACCGAGTGGTTGGTGCTGTGCTGTTCAAACCACAAGGAAAATCACCTGCTGCGTTTCTGTTTGAGTCACCAAGTCTTGACTGGTTATTTGTTTCCCAGAGCTGGTGGAGAAACAAGTGGCGTTGGAGATGGTGAGGCAGAGGGAGCTGGTGGCTTTCAGGGGCTCTGTACTTGCTGTGAGCACAGGTCTGGCCTCCAGCACTTTGCAGAGTGACAGCAGTGCTCAAGGGTTGCTCTCAGCCCCGGCTGCCTCTCCCTGTGTGTTTGGTACAAGTTGGGATAACGTTTTTAGTTCGAGTGTTTTGTTGTGCAGCTTAGGAATATAAGTAGGGAGGGAAAATTTCACCCTCTACCCTAATTCTGTGTATTTAGACAGTTGTTCTTGTGCTGTGTCAAGATGTGTTTCTGTGAGGAAAGGCTGAGAGAGCTGGGGGTGTTCAGCTGGAGGAGAGAAGGCTCCAGGGATACCTTAAAAGTCCCTTCCAGTGCCTGAAGGGGCTCCAAGAGAGCTGGAGAAGTACTTTGGTAAGGGCTTGGAGGGACAGGACAAGGGAGAATGGCTTCCCACTACCAGAGGGCAGGGTTAGATGGGATATTGGAAAGAAATTCTTCCCTGTGAGGGTGGGGAGGCCCTGGCACAGGTTGCCCAGAGAAGCTGTGGCTGCCCCATCCCTGGAAGTGTCCAAGGCCAGGTTGGACAGGGCTTGGAGCAACTTGGGTTAGTGGAAGGTGTCCCTGCCCATGGCAGGGGGTAGAACTGGATGAGCTTTAAGGTCCCTTCCAACCCAGACCTTCTGGGATTCTGTGATGCTACAGAGCTTTTCAGTAACCTCACCCAAACTCATGTTTAGTAAAGTGCTGTTGAAGGTCACTGTTATTGTGGGCTGGGTGTGTCAGAGGTTGGTTCCTTGCTCTTCAACCATGTGCACAGAAGTGGAAGAGAACTCAAACATTTCAGCTTTATCTTGGTATTTAATGTCCTTTAAGTTTGAGTGCCTTTACTACTAAATTCCTTTAATACAGGTGTCTTCTGCAGTGGTGTTTGTTCCCACATCCCTGGGAGTGTTCCAGGCTGGATTGGATTTGTCTGGGAGCAACCTGGTCTAGTGGAAGGTGTCCCTGCCCATGGCAGGGGCTGGAACTGGATGGTCTTTAACCTTCCACCCCAAACCATTCTGTGATTCTGTAGAGGTGTGTACAAAGCTTTGCCTTTTCTGCTGAGGCTTTCTAGGAGGAGAAGGTGTTCTGCAGATCCTATGGGTGGTGTGCCCATGGGGCAGAGACCCAGAGAGCCTCACATCATTCTCAGTGTGTCCAAGACCCCTAGGAAGCAAGGCTGCCTTTCTCAGGGTGAGCTGTGCAGGGCTGACACTCTGCTTTTTAACTTTAAATCCGTGTGAAGTTGAACTGCTGTGTTTGATGTGCAGCAGCTGCACATCTTTCTCTGCAGGAACTGCTGCTCCGCTGTCCTGGATGCTCAGAGGTCGGTAATTAAAGCAGACTGAGGGCTTTCTGAAGGTGAAGTTTTGGAGCACTGCCTGAGAAATGTGCTGATCTCACCCGGCTTCTGCAGCTCTGAGAGGAGCAGCTTCAAACAGGATTTCTGCTTGGGGAATTTCCAGGCTCACTTCTTTTCAGACCCTTTCTCTCTGGCTATAAGAAGGAGAGAAAGGTTCCTGTGCCCGCTGTGACACTTTGTGCCTCTGCCTGAATTGCTTGGGCCCCACTGGCTCATATTTAGGCCATCTGGGCAATAGCACAAGGGATGTAGCTTGGAAAAGTGCTGGAGCACGTGAGGGTGGATGCTTGTAAGGGAAACACTCAGTGACCTCAAGCCTTGTGAGGAGTTTACTGCTGCCTTTATAATGTCCTTGATGTTAACTGGGAGCAGTCACTTGAGTTTGTCTCCCTGCAGAGGGGAAACCTGAACTCCTGTGTTTAGCAGTTGTGCCCTTTCAAGTGTTTTCTCCCAAAATACCAATATGGCACTAATGTCTGGATGCACAGCTGGACACACACAGCCAGATGTTAGGCATTCAGCTGAAGGGCTGCAAGCCTGGGACTCTCATCCCAAATGTGCAGTGTCATGGCACATGTGATGCATTCCCTGAATACAGAGGGAAGCATCCAGTTGCAAATCCTGTCTTTGCTAAGGATCTGGTTGGTGCCCTGCAAAATGTGAGGCTGCAGAGGTTGTGACATTTGAGCAGGCAAGGGAACGTTGCTGAGAAGGAGAAAGAGGGATGGTGGGTCATTTGATAGTTCCTGTGTAGCATCCTTGTTTCAGTCATTTTCTTCAAACAATTTGGGGTCCCTGACAGAGAGATAGATACTTGGCAAGCTTGAGAACTGACAGACCACAAAATATTCCTCAGAGCTTTAAAACCTTCCTGAGAACTTCAGGTTTTATGTTAAGATCGTATCTCTTATCTTTATAAATCTGGAAATTGGTAAACTTTGGGTAGTAGATGGGAAAGAAATCCTTAATTTCCCTGCTAAAGTTTGTTAGAGGAGACTGCAATAGTTCACTGGGACATCTCTGTACAAACAGAATTGCTTAGCTTGGCTTGCTGAGGAGTCACATCATGGGATGGGAATGGGAGTGTGTGGCCTGTGCTATCCTAAATGTGCCTGAAACAGTCTTAAGGACTAATTCACCCAGGGAATGTGCTCCAGATCTTTTGGGCTTGACTTAAGGCAGAGTCTGATGCACAGTTTTATTCAGGAGCGTGTTGTCACCTCTGTTGCCAAAGTTCCTGCTTTAAGAGCAGCTGGTCTTAGTGAGGGTGTCTTGCTGCTGCTGCTCCAGTGTTTTCTTGGACAATTGGAATTCCAGATCAGAGAGCCCAGGGGCAGAAGGCTGATGAGATGCCTACAGGAGGCCAAAGTCTCTTGTGTAGCAGCAAGGTGACTCCTAGGAAGCCAAAGGCGAGGTGTGTGACATGGAGGGGAGCGGCTTTCCCTTGTCCTGCTTTAAACTCAACTCCCATTACTGCAGATTTTACTGCATCTGCTGTGAGAGGGATTTTTCAGTCGCTGCTTTAATAGTTACAGAGCAGTCTGGCTTAGCTCTGCTTTAAATTCTAGGTGTGGTTTGTTAAAGAATTGACTCCTGCAAAATCAGTTGGTTCATTTCCAGCGTTCCCAGGCTACTTTAAAGTGCCTGATTCCCAAACACGGACCTGGTGGAGCACAGTTCATCTGTATCTCCTGGTTTTTCCTCCCTGTGATGACAGCTTAAGCTGCCCTGCTCCAAGGGCAGCCTGTGCTGCTGGGTTGTTCTGTCACGGTCCTGGAAGAGGATGGATATTTAGGCACTGATGGATGCTGTGCTGTGAAGGGAGCCAGTAAAAGGGACAAGGTTTGCCTGTCACCTGTGTGCAGGTACATCCGGACAGCTCTGCGTTCTTCACGTTGTGGGTGACACCTGTAAAGGCTTCTGCTGGGTTTGTTGCCTCTTGAGGAGGGGCTGAGCAAGGTTTAGTTCCCACCTGAAGGTGATCTGTGTTTTGTGTGTCCTTCCTTCCAAATTTATATTCTCTGAAAGAGGATTTTTACCACTTTGCTTGCTGGAAAAGAGAACCTCAACATCATTGCTGATGACACGCAGGATGGTGCCTGTTCTGGAAAATGATATAGCTGCCAGCTGAAGTTTTAGATGTTTTCTGCCCCAGGCAGAACCTGGAGCTGGCCTAGCCTGGAAATCCCTCTGCTTTTGTGCCTGTGGAGCAGCCAGGGGCGAGTCAGGGCTGGATCACCCCTGTGCCTCCCAGAGCCTGTGGGTGCAGTGCAGCCCAGAGGCTCTGGGACTGTGAGTTACAGGGCCACAGCAGCTCTGGTTCTGTAGCTTTGCCTGGTTTTTAGAACACAAGGAAAAGCTATGAAAGGTCTGTAATTTCTCTTTTCTCTTTCCAGCTACCCTTACCTACGACACCCTCAGGTTTGAGTATGAAGACTTCCCTGAGACCAAAGAACCCGTCTGGATCCTCGGCCGGAAATACAGTGTTTTTACAGGTATCTTCATGGGCAGTGCAACGTTCTGATGCTCCAGAGCACTTTGTTAGTGTTGCACTTGGGTTTTAACTGCCAGGCTTCTGTCTGTCTGGCCATTTCTGTGGAGTCTGGAATATTTCTGTGCAGAAAGTTACCACACAGTAGTTATTGGGACATGTCGTGAGGGCTGGATGGTGGAGGCAGGGGGATGCTCAGAGGAAAGAAGATGGTTTGCCTCTTCATGATTTGCCTGTGGCTGTAGTGTCTTTGGGTTGATTGCAGCTGTTTTGGGGGGAAAAGGAAGTTTTTTCTGCACAGCAGCACTGCCCTGTTCCTCAGCCAGGCTCTCCCTCTCTGGGCATGCAGGCTGTGAGGAGCAGATGCTGCTGTCCTCAGGGAGGGTGAGTGGGAGGTGGGCTTGGCTGTGGTGGTGCCACCCTCACGTGTGCGTTTCGATGCTGGACACCTTTCAGAGAAGGAAGAGATCCTGTTGGATGTGACCTCTCGCCTTTGGTTCACCTACAGAAAGAACTTCCCTGCTATTGGTATGTACTGTGGGGGAGTCTAAAGACATCCTGGAAATGATCATAATCTGGTTGTCCCTGACAAAGCAGTCCCCACAAGCATGGCATCATTTCCATTCATAAGAAGTCTGAAATGCGCTTCATTTAATTGATTGGACACACTTTTGCTTATCTGATAATGAGAATTCCTCATCCCCTTGGGTGTGAGGGATAGCAGTGGTTTCAAAAAGGACACAAGGAGGAGTTTGGGAAGCCTGCTCTTTTTTTTTTTATGCAGCTTGGGAAGATTTCTGTGCTTCATGCTCATCACATCCTACATCAGTCTAGTGTGAAATATTATTGAATAATGGTCTTGGGCCTGAAGTGGATTAAAATTATGAAAGCTACAGATATGATATGGAAATTGCTGCTTTTGTGCATCTGCTCTAGACTGTGAGGGGGGTTTTGTTTGTGTGTGGGGTTTTAAATGCCTGAAGTGTCTGTTACACACAGGAGCTGTAGTGATATGGGAAATTTTTCCCAGTGAACTCGAAGGAGGATGTCTTGGTTCCTTAAGATATTCTGTATGGCCTCTTCTGGGGTTTAATTTTGTGTTCTGGGTGCAAGGTATATCAGAGGAGATCTAAGAGCAAGGGGATTCCAAGAGGATCTAAGGCAAATGGGATTCCAAGCCCCACCCATATCCCCCTTCTGTCAGTGCCATCTCCAGCAGTCAGTGGGGAAGGAATGTGGCTCAGGTTTGGAAAAGAGACTTCTTGGTAACTGGTCCTTCTGGCTTGTGCTGTTCTTTCCCTGCTGGTAAATCCTCTGTCTCACAAGCCCTCAGACATCTTTGATGTAGTTTAATTCCTTTAAATTCATGTTTGTGCACCACAGTTAAACACATGTTTGAGACTGAAGGGTTAGCACATATTGAACTGGCTCGCAGACACAATTGGGGTTTTGTGAGTCATTAAAGGCTGTGAGGCAAAGGCAGACACCATTTTCTGAGTCATTTCCCATTTACAGAATAAATATTATTTGCATATATACAGTAAACCTTTTTTAGTATTTTTCTTCTTCCAGTCATCCCTGTTGTTGTTTGTCACTTCCCTCTGTGCTTGCCCACTTAAATATTGTAAGGGTTAGGGGACTGTCTAATGCTAATTTGGTAAAGCATTATCATTCTTGGAAGTTGTATATGTTATAAATTACTGGTGAAATCATGGAAGACAGCTGCTGAACATCCAGATGTTGATTAAATAGTTCTCTGGGTGATTTTTCTCCCTGTGGAGAGTAGTTGTTTAAGACTAAAAGACAGAAGCAGCCTTACAAAGACTTCTGGCAGCTTTGCCCAGGCACAGCTGGCTGTGTGCTCATGAGACAGCTCACCTGCTGTGGTCACACTGAATGTTTATCTCTATTATTTGTAGTAATAGCCAGAGCTGCAGTGGAGGAGCTGCAGTTTCCTTTGGAAGGTCTGTCAGGGAAATGCTTCCAGCCTTGAGCTTTGTCTTGGAAGTCTTTGTCTCAGACTTTCCAGTGTGAGCTAATATCCAGCTTATTCTCCAACATGATGTAGGATGTGTCTTTCTTTCATTGCTGGGGGGGGTTTATTTTTTTTTTTGTCTGATCCCTTTTCTTTTGGCCTAACTACACTGTTCACTTTGGAATATTAGCCTGTCATTGCTGCTTCTTATGTAGGAATTCCTTGGGACTTGTTGAGTTGCCTTCTCAAGATGAGGATTGCAAGAGTCACCTGCAGCAGGCATCTCTGTATAGAGCTGTCTCTGAACTGGGCTGGGAGTCTGCAGCCAGGCTTAGAGGCCACTGTGCTCCTGAGAAATTCAGCTCTCTCTTGGGTTGTTTGGATTCCCCTTGGAAGTTTTTTCCCCTTTCAGTTGGCATTAGAGGGGTTTGTTTATTTGCTTTTAAGGGACGCCATTAAGTCACTCATTGTTAACCACATTTTTGGTTCTCAGCCTTGGGTGTGTGAGCTAAGCTAGTCCTGATTCCCTGCCTCGTGTCTCTGTGAGCCTGCTGCCCACGCAGACTCACTGTGCCTGCACTTCTCTCCCTCTTGGCACTGTTTCCCCCTTCATTCCGTGTCTGTTCTCCGTCCTCGTTTGCAGGAGGCACCGGTCCCACGTCGGACACCGGCTGGGGCTGTATGCTGCGCTGTGGCCAGATGATCTTTGCTCAGGCCTTGGTCTGCAGGCATCTGGGAAGAGGTAAACCAGCCCACACTGACTTCCAGGGCCACGTGCTCCCACAAGTGCAGCACTTGTAAGGACAGAGATGACGAGGGCACAGGAGGGAATTGCTGTGAGGGCTCTGTGACTTTCTCTTCAGTCTTCTCAAGTTCAGGGCTGTTGGGAGAGAAATCTACTGGGAACTCTTCAGCAGGATTTTCCCTGTTTTCTCCAACTCTACATAGATATTTGTATTTTTATTATTATTATTATTATTAGTTTTTCTGTGGGTGACATTCCTTTATCCTAGCTGTGAGGATGCTTTCTGTTCTTTTAAAATTAGTCTGTTACTGTTGGAAATACCTTAGATGCTTAATAGTAAGATAACAATGTGAAAATCAGGTCAGTTGGTTGATGCACAGGAAGAGAATTGTTGCTTGCAGCCTCTAGTTGCTAACAAATACCATGCTTTGTTTCATATATCTCATTTTCTGTCTTAGACTGGAGGTGGATAAAAGGGAAGAGGCAGATGGATAATTACTTCAACGTTCTTAATGCCTTCATTGACAAAAAAGACAGCTACTACTCCATTCACCAGATAGGTAAGAGGAAAGAAATGCTCAGAAGAAGCAAATGGAGTAAGGAAGGATCTCACCTCAATACAAACTTCCCTGAAAAATAAAAGAGAAAAGCTGCCTGTTTCCTATAGGGTGTTAAGGTACCCACAGCTTCAGTGAACAGAACACGGGTTACAGGGGTGGTCTGGTGATCAAACACTCTGTGTAAAGTTTCTTCTGAGGCAACATTGCCCTTTGAACTTCTGTGCTGCTGCATTTTGGGGAAAGGATTTGCTTTACAGTCCTTCAGGATGAGCTGCTCACCCCCACCTACAAGAAGATACCCCATGACAGGGTACATTCTGCTGATTCAATGTTTCCAAGTGAGAATTCTTCCCTATTTAATACAAGCCTGCTGAGCAAGCGATGCAGTGTGGGTGAAATTACTTACTAATTTTTTTTTTCCTTGTGCTGCAGCCCAGATGGGAGTTGGAGAGGGAAAATCCATAGGCCAGTGGTACGGACCAAACACAGTCGCGCAGGTGCTCAAGTAAGGGCTGCTTGTTTTCCTTTTGCCTGTTGAACCAGGCAGTGTGGGGTCATTTGGGGTGTGGTACCTGAGCTTACAGGGTTCTGACCACTGTGGGAGCATGGGCTGCCTTGACTAACACCCTCCCTCCTCTCACTGTTCTCCCCTCACGTTGGTACATGAGCAGGTAGTTCCCTGGAGTAGGCTGGGATTGCTTAAAGGCAGCTTTCCCAGGTCAGGCCATAGGCTGAGTTAGCCCAGGTTCTGGTACAGGTGGTCAGGAGATAATGTATGGGAAGTCAAAGTGCTTTTATTTCACTTCTAATGCTGTCTCACTTTCTGGTAACCAGCAGTTAAGGAATTCCACTTGGAGATTGTATCAGGGCTCATGTACTTAGTAGCTGCTGAGGAGCAGATTAGATTCCCAGGTGTAATCCCATTTGCAACCTTGTTTATTCTTTATTCTTCAGGCAGTAATGAAGTCTACAACTCTGCCTCTATCAAAGCACACTTCATAGCATAATTGATTACACCAGTCCCTCCTAATCCAGTTTCTCCTCTCTGCTACCCCACCATCTTTGTCATGTAGTTGTATTAATTCTTCCTTACATATTTGCTTTTAATTTTCCCGTAGAAAACTCGCAACTTTTGATACGTGGAGCTCCCTGGCAGTACATATAGCCATGGACAACACAGTAGTGATGGAAGAAATCCGTAAGTACCACACAGAGGTAGAATGTGATGTATCCTCTGGCAGCAACAAGCCAGAAAAAAGCTGGAGAGCACAACAAACATGAAGTACATGTTCTGTCTTAAATTCTTCCCTGTGAGGGTGGTGAGACCCTGCCACAGGTTGCCCAGGGAAGCTGTGGCTTGCCCCATCCCTGGAAGTGTCCAAGGCCAGGTTGGATGGGGCTTGGAGCAACCTGGGCTAGTGGAAGGTGTCCCTGCCCATGGCAGGGGGTGGGACTGGATGAGCCTTAAGGCTCCTTTCAACACTCACCATTCTCTGGTCTCTGAAAGCTATGGCCAAGCATTCTGAAACCAGGTGAGAACTGCTGTTCTACGGCAAGGAAGGCCCTTGTTTGACTTTTGCTTCATCTGATAAAGCCTCTGGCTTGGCATAGTGGCCTCTCTATCTGGAGGGAAGGTTTGCTGACCTTCAGACAGTAAGTGGGAGCTGCTTGGATGGCAATGTTGGACTTGTTTATGGCCACGAGTAGCAAGCAGTAAATGGCTGCTTCATCTCTCATATAATGGGTAGGATGCCTCTGCTATTAGGCAGGATAAGAAAACTAGAACAAATCACTGAAGGGAAAAGTGAACAAAACTGGCAGGAGGCAGGGCTAAGAAGGAAATCCATCTCTAGAGTGAATCTCATCATTTTAAGGAGTATTCACTCATGGGTTTGTTTCTTTTTTTTTTCCCTTTTATTTTGTTTGGGGTTTTTTTGGTGCATCCTGCCCACAGGCTGGCTCTGGAGCTTGAGCAGGTCTTGGTGCCCATCCTGAGCCTGCCTGCTCAGGCTGCAGCCCTGCAGTAATGAAAGCTGAGTGCCTGCACTGCTGGTTGCTGCAGCCCTGCATGGCCCTGGCCTCACCAGCCCTTCCCCTGGCTTGCTTTAGGCCAGCTCCCGAGGCAGGGAGCTCACCCAGCACAAACCTTGCAGTGTTTCTGCCAGGGCAGTGCTCTGGAATGGCAGGTACAATGCTCTGGTGAGTGCTGGAGCTGGGGCAAGGTTACAGGTGAGGTTGTGGCAGGCATCATTTAGGCTTCTTGGCTGCCACAGAACCAGAATCAACTACCATCAACTACCTGGAGTGCAGGACAATCACGTTACAAAGCTCCATCTCTTGTCAGGCAGCTCAGTTGGATCTGACTGAGAAGTGCCTGTCTGACCTGAGCTGAAGGTACATGCTGATGTCCTTGGCTTAAACAAGGGCCAATTTAAAAAACAGAAATTGGATTTGTCTTTCATCCTTAGCCTGAAAACATCACTTGTAGAGCTGAAGCATGCTGGCTGCGAGGCCTGGCTGTGCTGCAGGCTCTGTCTGTGTGGCACTGGCTATTCAGCACTGATGCTGCTTCAAGTGGCGTGTCCGTACCGCCTGTCATGGGCAGGCCGTGTTTGTTGTCCTCAGATGTGGATCATAATGTACCTGTACAGGGCCTGAAGGTCACTGTGTGAGTGGGTCTGATGTGTTACACGTCTGTAGGTTTGTGTTAGATACCTTGTGCCCCAGACATTGATGATAGAAGTCATGTTGTTTCATACATCCATTAATTTGGTCACTGATAAGGTTAAGCCAAAGGTTCACAGGAAATGCCTTTTGCTACAGCATTGAAGAAACATCCACCTTTACCCCTGTGTTCCATCAGAAGGGGGCTCTCAGTTGGGCATTGGAGGATCCTGCGCATCAGAAACGTGATGAGGCTCCAAGGCAGTACCTGACAGCAGCAGCCACAGCAGGAGAGGTGTCATGTCAGATCTGCTGGAATATGTTTGCAGTAAATAGTTTGGATCCAGCTGGGAAGCTTTAGACAAGTTCTGCTACGCTCTGCCACCATAGCAGTGCAAAGCCTGCCAAAGACCAAGGTGAATTTAGTCTGTGCCAAGCTCTCTGCTGCTTAAACTGGAGTTAAATATGTTCACACCACAGCACAGGATTGCCAGGTGCTTCACCTGATGAGGAAACCTGCAGTGACACCCCATGCAGCAACAGCCCTGGATTGGCAGCTGATATCAGATCACCAGGACAGGCAGGCTACTGCAACAAAAGAACCTGTTTTAACAGGAGAAATCACTACTTAAAATTTCCTCAGGACTTCTGGTAACTACGTCTGTGCATGAGATGCACACGTACACCTTCTCCCTTCTTGAGGGACAGTACAGGGAGAAACTGCAGACATCCATGCAGGTTGTCTTTCCTCCTGAGGCTTTAGATCAAAGTTGTATTTATTCTAAATTTGGGTGTAACATTGCCCTTGTTCAGCTGGGTTTGAAGCTCTCGGTAGTGAACAAACACCAAGGTCAAATGGCTGGTGATTAAGGTGTTTGTTTACATTGTGTCCTACCTGCTAGAGTGTCCTGGCCTTCAATTTAGGCCAGGAATAAATTAAATGAGCCTCTGGCATTCTGTCTAATTGCCTTGGCTTCATCATTAAAGTGCTGTGGGTTTCTTCAGAGTTTGGGGTTTTCTCTTCACACACCCAGCAAGTAATGAAATTGGCCAGTGAGACAGGTAAGCTTCGAGTTCTTTCTGGACCAGAATTTACATAACCTGGGTGCATTACAACCTGGCTGTGTGTTTGTCAAGCCTGTAGAATGAGGATGCAGAGTGCTTATGTCATGTGTATGCTCCGAGGAGTTCTGCTGCCCCACATCTTAGAGGCAAAGCTTATGCTGAAATTGCAGAGTTCAGTGACAATCCTGCTTTAGGTCTGTGAAGAGGCTGCTGAATGATCCCCAACAAAATTCGTGAAGGTTAAAACCTTTAGGAAACTTAAGTGAACTTAGGAACATTATAACTACTCTAGACAGATGCCATGTTTGTATCTTGCTACAGCACTGTTACAGATGAGCATTTCCTGTGTTAAGCCATAACACTGTCCTCATTCAGTTCATTCACATCCTCTGTGAATTCCTCTGGAGTTGGACACTCCACACTTTTCTCGTTCTGTCTACAAGCTTTGTGAATTCAGGACTGTTGCCTGACAGCCTAATCAGCTCATCCAACCTTGTTGGCACAGGTGCTTGCTCACCTTGTGGAAGAACTGGCATTTTCACTGCCCAGCAGATGGTAGCTGTGAGTACAACGTGCTCTGCCGTAAACTTGGTGTGAGCTTGGCTGGAAGGCTGAGCCCTTCAGCAGCCCTGTAGGGAGTACACACATCACACAGTCCCAGCACTGGGCCTCTTCAAGCTTTTCTCGTTGTTTTTAAGTGCTGTAGGCTTTTAGAAAATAGCAGTTGTTGATCAGAGCTTGACTAGAACGACTCAAGGTCTGGAAACGGAGGTGATTCCTGATGCTCTCTGCTCCTGTTCCTTTCCATAGGGCGGCTGTGCCAGTCCAACTTGCCGTGTGCTGGAGCTGCAGCATGTCCTGCCCTGGAGTCAGACGTGCTCTATAACGGGTACCCAGAGGAACCAGGGGTTAGAGACAGGCTTGTGCTGTGGAAACCACTGGTGCTGCTGATACCTCTCCGCCTCGGGCTCACAGAGATCAATGAAGCCTATATTGAAACACTAAAGGTAGGGGATTTGGAGCTGAATTCCTGGTGGGGTGATGCTTAAGGATCCTGTTGTGAATTAAGTAATTATTCAGAAATAATTGTCCTATTTGCAAAAGAAAAATATGTTGAGAGACAACTCGTGTCAGAGGTCAGGATACAGGTTCTTGCAGGCTCTAGTCAGAAAAATGGGGTGGGGCTCGGGGAGTTGTGCCTTTTTGAGGTTGCTTTTTTATTTTGGGGATTTTACTTCATAGCTTGGTCTCAGTGTTTAGATAGCACCAACCTGCTGAAGCATTTGTTCAGCACAACTATACCCTGCTTGGCGGTAACCTGAGTGTTGGTTAATGCAGTGTTGGACACTCCTGTGGCTCTGAGGCTGGAGCTGGTGCTGCAGACTAAGGCCAGGAGCTGGCAGGCAGTTGCAGGTTGGAGTATTGAGAAGCTGCAGAATCAAGGGTGTGCAGAGTATGTGCACAAGACAGAGTGCACATTGTCTTGCTGTCCTAGTGCTGGCAGGCTCTGAGCTGTGTGGGTAAGACAGCTCCAAATTCCTGTGAGGCTTCTTCCATTTGGTCCATCTCTGTGTTCCTGTCAGCAGTTGGAAGTGTTTTTGAGCTGCTTCCATGCTCCTAGAAGGCCCTGTGTTGTAGCCTTCTACCTTCCTGATGGAGCCTCTCTCCAGAAATGGCTGGTTTTGCTGCTAGAGTTGCAGATTCTCTGTGTCCCTGTCCCATCTTTCTCACTGCATTTTTGGATGTTTGCCTTTGTTCCCACCTGCTGTCTCACTGTCTGTCAGCTGTGTGTTTTCTGTGTTGCTTTTCCAGCACTGCTTCATGATGCCCCAGTCCCTGGGAGTGATCGGAGGGAAGCCAAACAGTGCTCACTACTTCATTGGCTATGTAGGTGAGTGCCCAGAGGACTCCAAAGGCTGTCCAAGCATCTCCCCCCGCTGCTTGTGGGGTGCACAGCTCTCCTGCTTGGCCTGTGGGGAATGCTGCAGGGTTTTCCTTCCCTGCTGGAAGCATGGAAGGCTGCTGTGGGCCGAACCTCTCACCTGAGTCGTGTAGATTTGAACACTGGCCATAAACTGCCACTGTGTAACACTAATCCTGTCTGTAAGGGGAGTGCACAGAACCTGCTTCCTGAGTTCAGAACTGATCTCCCTCTGGGGCCTGGCTGGATATAATTGTCCTTTAGGTGACCCTTCCTCAAACCCTACAAACTGTCATTACTCTCCTCTGTTTTTCTCTCTCTGCCTGAGACCTCTGGTTACTTGTGCTTTAGATTTCTGGGGTCTACTTGAGCTTACCCAGGACCTGGGAAGGGGTGAGCAGGGACAGTACCCAAACAGTGCCTGTACCTCAATCCCAGGGGGTTGCTGTGGAGTGGCCACCGTGGTTCTGGCAGCTGGCTCTGTGCCTGGCTGAGAAGCATTTGGGGAAGTGGCTGGAAGCAAGTTGTCCCCAGAATGTGGCTTCCTCTGTGTGGCTACGAGAGCTGGCTCTGCCGTTGCTCTTACTCCTTCTACCTCACCGCTCCTCAGAGACCAAGGTGCTGGCATGGTTCCTCCTGTTGATGTGTCCTTGCCTCTCTGTCCAGGCGAGGAGCTCATTTACCTGGATCCCCACACCACGCAGCCGGCGGTGGAGCCCGGTGACAGCGGCTGCCTCCCCGACGAGAGCTTCCACTGCCAGCACCCTCCGTGCAGGATGAGCATCGCCGAGCTCGACCCCTCCATCGCCGTGGTGGGTTCCTGCTCCCCATCCCCCAGGGAGCAGTGCTGGGGCCCCTCTGTTCCACAGCTCTCTCCTTCCCCAGGGAACTGGCAGAGGCAGTGGGGATGGGCTGGGCACTCTGCAGTGCTGTGCTCTGGTCAGGTGCTGCCCCGGGTTTTGGTGACAGCCATAAAGCAGCTCCTTGTGCGGGAAGCTGTCCCAGGGAAGTCCCCCTTGCATGGCAATTAAATGCCATTCCTCCTGGGGCTGTGTCCTTCTCTCAGGTTTAGTCTGGGCTTTGATTCCTGTCTTGATGGGCAGATCCGCAGCTATTCCTGAATCCATATGAGGATGCACTGTGGCTTGTTTTCTGTTGAGCCTGAGATGCCTGCCCTTTTTTTCCATGGGGGTTGTTCCTCCTGGTTTTCCTTCTGCAGTAGAGCAGCCATTAATGATTCCAGCACTTGGATAGCCTGGTCAGAATCAGCCTTTGTGGAGTGTTCACTTAACACAGGGTAGTGTTATGCATGGTTTTAGAGCAAGGCAGTTGGGTGTAGATAACTGCTCACAATCCTGATCACGTTGCTTGGCATTAATACAGGGTCTTAGGTCTGAAATAATCAATCTAAAATATAGAAGGATAAAATCTTTTTCTCTTCTTTTCAGGGCTTTTTCTGCAACACAGAGGCAGACTTTAATGACTGGTGCCAGCAAATCAAAAAGGTTTGTGTTTATAGATCTGGTCAGACATTGGAACAGGCTTCCCAGGGAAGGGGTGGAGTCACCATTCCTGGAAGTATTCAAAGGCATGTGGATGTGGCACCTGGGGACATGGATTAGTGGTGGTGTTGACAGTGCTGGATTAACAGCTGGACTCAGTCTTGGAGGTCTTTTCTAACCTTAATGAGTCTAATTCTACTCTTACTGAAAGGAGTATCAGGTATTGTCTTGTTGCCAAACCACTGCACAGAGACCATGTTCTCAGCAGCATGATCCCATTTTAAAGCATATTAAAACAGTTTATTAAACTACCAAGGAGAGCATAGCTCCGAAATTCTGTTGGTGACACAAGTAAAAGATTTGAAAAGCATTTTTCCAGCTGCAGTGAAGTGCCAACAGATCGTTATTACCCCCTAAAGAGCCCCAGGAGTGCAGAGCTGTTGGTTCTCATGGCTGTGCTCTGTCTCCACAGCTGGCCCTGGTCAGGGGAGCGCTGCCCATGTTCGAGCTGGTGGAACGCCAGCCCTCGCACTTCTCCAACCCCGACGTCCTGAATCTCACACCAGGTGAGGCCACGCAGGGAGGGAGGGAGGGAGAGCTGGGGTGAGCCGGTCCCTTTGGTTTTCTGGAAATTTTGAGGTTGCACAGTGGTTTCTGATATGTTCCTGTTCATTCCGGAGTTTGAGCTGGAGTTCCTGGATCAAGTGATCTGGTTTTTTTGGCTTTCAACTAGTGGTTTGCAGATCCCAGTGTCTCAGGATGATTTTTAGAACGATTCTGTGAATGGGGATGGTGACTGAGAAGGAAAAACAAGCTCACAGGCTGTCACAGTAATGTGAATCTAGGATTTCTTAAGGGATGCTTGGAGGAATCAAAAGGGTCCATTGAAAAGGCTGAAAGCTGAGTAGTTATGTAATGAAAATGGTCCAAGACAGGGCTGGTCACACTTAGTTCCAGCATAAGGCACTCCTTCCTGGCATGTACCACTGCCAGTGTGAGAAGGAACAACTGCTGGCCACCAGTCTTGACTGTCAGGCTCTGCTTATCTTGTCCATAACATGCACAAACATTGCAGGAGATAGAGAGGCATTGGCAGCTTCTGCCAAGAGCAGTGAGTGTGTGTGGGCAAACCCACCCTGACACCAGGCACCAGGCTGCCTCCTGCACCTGCACCCTGTGCTTCCTCACTGTCTCCCTGTAGCATGAACTTTCAAAGCCTTCCTTATTGCACTGTCCTGTGCTGTAAGAGTGCTCGATTCCCTTAAGCTGCCAATCGATCCTTGCCTCTCTTAAATTGTCCCCAATTGTTGCCTTTCCTACTCTTAAAAATGTTTTTGTAGTGGACTGCTTGTCCTTCTTCCTCTTCCCTGGCTTGTACTGACTCTTCCATCTGCCATGGCCATTCTGTTTGGCGTAGTCCTGTTCCTCACTAGGAGGAGTAATTGAAGTTGGAGCCCGTTTCAGTGCCTAAAGAGGCTCCAAAAGAGCTGGAGAGGGCATGCAGTGACAGGACAAGGGAATGGCTTCAGACTGCCAGAGGGCAGGGTTAGATGAGATAGTGGGAAGAAATTCTTCCCTGTGAGGGTGCTGACACACTGGCACAGGTTGCCCAGAGAAGCTGTGGCTGCCCCATCCCTGGAAGTGTCCAAGGCCAGGTTGGACAGGGCTTGGAGCAACCTGGAATAGTGGAAGGTGTCCCTGCCCATGGCAGTGGGTTGAAATGAGGTAAGCTTTACGGTCCCCTCCAACCCAAACCATTCTGACATTCTGTGACTGTCCAGCCTGAGTTAATACAGGTTTCTCCTTCCTCAGTTTGCCCATTGGTCTCACCTGAATTTCCCCTGTGCTAAAGTTGCTTCCCCTTTAGGTGTGAGCTCCTTCCTCACCATATGTTGGAAGGATGGACAGGAGGGATCAACTATACTGTACAATTGCTTTTGGGAGAGTGCATGTTGTGTAATCACATTCCCTAACAGTTGTACCAAAGGTAACTACAGTAGAAACAATTCTCCGATACATGGCAGGAATGTATCCCTTAATTGAGCCAGAAACCTTCATGGATATTAGTCCAGAACTGGGCAAGTTCTCTTTATTTTGAGCCTCTTGAGGCAGAACAGTCTCCTGCTAATGCAGAGTTGGGGCACAGCAAGGTTGTACTGAACAGTCACAGCAGAGTTGTTTTGGGGATCTGTGAAAGGTGACGCACTTCTGTGCTCCATATAATTCTCTCCAGTGCATTTTCCATGCCATTGACATGTTCTCATCCCTGCTCAGAGCCTTCACTCGGGTATGTCACTGAGTCTTGGAACTTGTGGGCACTTGGCACTCAAATTGTGATGCCCTCCAGCTGCTGGTCTCACAGTCAGGGTGTCACACGGAGGCAGTGCTTTCTTCTTCTCTTCCAGACTCCTCCGATGCCGACAGATTGGAAAGGTTCTTTGACTCAGAAGATGAAGACTTTGAAATCCTGTCCCTTTGAAAACAAATAGGAAACTGACTCTGCAAATTTGTGTATGTGTGGGGAGAAGGGGGGAGGGAAGCTCCTTGGAGAGCCTGGGGCTACCGGTTTTCAATAGGCGCTTGCTGCCATCCCCGCCTCTTGTCCATCCCGGCATTCCGTGCAGCCTCGGAGCAGAGCGCGCAGTGTCTGCGGTGGGATGAAGAACCAAGTGGGTGTTACAGCCTTACTGGCTGCAGTCAGAATTTCTCAGCAGCAAACAGTTGCTGGAAGTGGATGCAGTGGTGCTTAGGAGTTCAAAGCCTATCTGTTACATCAGCAGGTCAGCTGGGCCTTCCGGGGGAGGCACGGGAATCAGCAGAGTGCTGGATCCTTCCGTGGGGACTCCCCGCTGAAGCTTAAGTAGAGCCCACCCATCATTTTGCAGGAGAAATGTCCAGTTAATGCCTTTAGCAGCTTCTCTTCTCACTGGCCAACCTGGACTGCAGCTCACAATGCCAAGGAACAGCAGCCACGTCCCACAGACAGCTGTGAAGCCTCTGGAGTGCAGATCCCTACGGTACAACTCCTGTTCATGCTCTGCAGGACACAGCGCTTCCTCTCCTGCTCACCCCCTATGGAAAGGGCACTGAGGGAACTTCCAAGTCACTGGGAATTCAACAAGTGAATGGCTGCCTGGGGAAGTGTGGAACAGAGCTGTGCTGCTGAGAAGGAGCATCTCAATCCCAGTTTAAATAACAGCAGAGAGAATGGAAGAATAGAAAATGTGTGTGTTGCTCAGTGAGTCAATCCATGTGCTTCTACAATGTAATCTCTACAGCGAGTACCTTCAGGAAAGCTGCTTTGAGCAGAGAACTGGATTCCATAGGCCTGGAAAGAGACCCAGCTGGGAGAGGTGAAACAGGACAGCGGAGATCTGCCGGGCTCCTGCCTGTGCCCTCGTGCGCTGGCACAGCGTCTGGGGAGTTAATCCTGTCGTACCAAAAACGTGAGCTGTGAAACTCCTCAAGGTGCCCTCGGTGCACTGATCAGCAGTTCCTCCAGCTACTCCTGTCAGACATTCCATTTCCAAAGCAGAAGAGGCACCTGAAGGTCGGTAGGATTCCAAGCTGTTGGTACCTTGACTCTGCCTGCCCCCCTCCCTGCAGAGTGTGCACAGAGGTACTGTAGGAGCCAGCCTGGAGAAACCCCTGTCAGGTAATCATCCCAAACGGGCAGAATGCCTTGAGAAGGTCCAATTATACTGGCAATTTTAGCTGCTTTAAGGTGGTAGCTCTGCCTGGGGCTCTTCTCCACACAGAGAAGGGTGGAGCAGAGCTGTCTCTTTGCAAACTGCAAGGGAAGTTGCTGCCGTAGTTCCTTGGTGCATGCTGCACACTGCAACCCCGTTCACAAGGCTCTGGTTTGTGCATTCGGGTTTGGAACCTGTCAGATGATGGTGTTGTGACCAAGGGTGGTGCCACCTGGGTAGACATGACCCGTTTCCCCTGTGACTGACCTACTGATGCTCTGTCCCTGTGCTATCCGAAAGCAGAGGTTTGAACTGGGAACCACAATGCTTCTGTCACTAAATTATTATTTGCTGCTTTCTGCCTGCTTCTCCTCTTCTCTCATGTAGTCAGGGGAAGAGGCAGCAGAGGAAGTGGGGCTGTGCTCCATTCATCTGCTTTCAATTTCTATCTGAATAAACAGATCTAAAATCTTTGCCTGTTCTAATGTCCTTGCACGAGTTGAAAGAGGTGGTGGGTGGCATTCCAGTGACCCTGCCCTGTGATAGGGAATGCTGTAACCAGTTTCAATAACCATTATTCCTGTTTTGCCATGCAGCAGCAGGACACAGAGCTTTAACTGGAAGGCTGTACGCTCTGTTGGCATGGGCAGGTCCTTTTCATTGAGATCTCATCACTCAGGACACATCACCCTCTTGATCTGTTCACCAGAAGAATCAGTACCTAAAGGGGCTCCAAGAGAGATGGAGAGGTTTGGACAAGGGCCTAGAATGAGAGGACAAGGGGGAATGGCTTCCCACTGCCAGATGGTTAGATGGGATATAGGGAAGGAATTCTTCCCTGTGAGGGTGCTGACACACTGGCACAGGTTGCCCAGAGAAGCTGTGGGTGCCCCATCCCTGCAAGTGTCCAAGGCCAGGCTGGATGGGGCTTGGAGCAACCTGGGCTAGTGGAAGGTGTCCCTGCCCATAGAACAAGATGATCTTTAAGGTCCCTTCCAACCCAAACCATTCTGTGATTCTACTGCTTATTTCACGTTCATGATTTCATGGTTAAGGACAGCTCAGCCAGACAGGTTTTTACCCGAGTGTTAACACAACCCCAATAACAGAACTAAGCTCAGCTGTCTAAGATCTTTAACAGGTATTTCTGGCTTTTCAGTCAGGCCCTTAAAGCTAATAATTAAAAGACTTCCCTGTGTGTTGTCTTGTGTCAGTGGTGCTGTCAGGGCCTGATTCAGCATTACAGGCACTCATCTGCTTCACCAGAAGTGTTTGGCTGCCAAGTGCTGGGCAGCTGTGGAGGGAAAGGAGCAGCTTTTTCCATTTCAGCTGATGTCTGTATTAGCAATTTTGCTTTAAACATTTAGCTTTCCTTTCCCTGCAAGGGAATCAGTTCAATCTGCCTCTCTCTGAGAGTTCGAGCAGGAGATTAATGCAGTCCACCCTGCTACAAGGTGTGTTAACTGTCCAGCAGAGACATGAACTCTCCTGGGCATCCCCATCTCTCAGTGCCCCTTGCAAATGATTTAACATTCCAGTTTGTTGTGGTTTGCTGGTTGTTAACTGCTGGCTTAGGTGATTCATAGCTGGTCTGGTTTGGCAGCCCTTATGGGCTGTTTAAATTGCACTGAGGGGTGTGTAGGAGCCACAGATTGATTCCCCTCATCTTAGCCAGTCTAAAATAGCTTATGTGCTACTCACCCTCCAAACTGGCCTTGCTGTGAGCTAATCCATCTATTGCAGGCTCTTACCTGCTCACAGCACTTTTCTGTCCCATTCTCAGTGCACATCTGGGAAGGAGGCCTGAATTCACCTCTCCCTTCATTCCACAGCTCCAGCAAACAGCTTTCCTTGGATTTAGAGCCTGAACTGCAGCACTTTCACCTCCCATGTGCCCTTCTAGAAGATAAATGATCATACTGGGGAAAAAAAATGCCCTGTGCCAAATGCTTAAAAATAATAATTTATTAGCAAGTCCTCTACAAACCGGTTTGAGCATGCAGGGTGCATTTACTAGAGAGGCAGAATAATCAGAAACATGGCAGTTCCCTGGAACTGGAAACTCTCCATGCTCAGGGGTGGCCCTGGGCTTCACACCCACATCTGCACCCCAGGACTCGAGCTGCAACAAGAGCTCCTGTTTGGGATAGGGAAGTTTTTACCAAGAATTTGATTCATGCTTATGGCATATTCATTTAAAAAATGTGGAAGGGACTATGGAGGGGGAGGAGCAGATGAAATAACAAGGACATCAGCATCGTTGGACCCAGAAGAATACTCAGGATCTGAGCTGTAGCTACTGGAGAGTGATATGTAAGGGAGTCATCCATGAGGTGAGCTTTCCCCTATTCCTTTAGACCTGCCCTGTATCAAGTCTTATTTCCAGAGTTCTTCCAGAGGTTTATTCTGAACCTCCTCCATGGTTTTCTCTGCAATGGACTTGATTTCTCTGTGCAAGTCTTCTATGCTCTGTGAAGCATCCACTGTCTGTTTCCAAGACAAAAAAAAAAAAACAAAACAAAACAAAACAGGATAGATACAGAAAACACAGAAACATGTTACTGGACACCAGAAAATGAGAAAATCTTTGCTGTTAACACCTGCTCCTCCTCATTACTCAATATTGTTACTGTTCCTGAGCAGTGAAATGAGCTAATTATACCTCCTGTGCACTGTTTCTGGAGTGGAACTGGGAAAAATCTATTTAGGAATAGACATTTAAGAAGTAGATGTGGGGCTGGGTGAAGGGAAACAGAAGAAACTGCTGTTGCATGTTGTTTGCTGACACTCTTTGGGATGTGTTAGATACATAGAGGCAGGTAAGCTGAGATTCATCACTGGTGCTCCAAGAGCTGACCAGGGTGTTCTGCAACAGGGAAGTGCCCTCTGCCACAGCCCACAGTGCCCTTGGCTGGTCCCCAGCATGTCCCCCTGACCAGGAGCAGGAAGGGGGAGCACAGGGATATGATGGGCACAGTTTGGGAGCTCTCATGAGAGACCCCCACCCCAGTCCATGACCAGCCCATTGGGGTTATTTCCTCACCTTCCAGTTCAGGGTCTTGTCTTCCATCAGACAATAGAAGGACTGCAGAACTTTCTCTTGGAAGGAGCTGGATTCATAACGTTCATGTCCATAGTTCCCTCGTTCTGCTGCTTCTTCCGGGCTTAACTGGAGAAACAGGATCAGGTCTGGCTTTGGGAGTCCCACGTCGGGCTGTTTGCACCAGTCCAGGCAGAAGTTCTGTCCCAAACAAAGACAACCAAACTTGAGGTGAAAGAAACACAAAAAGCAATAATATCCCAGCTTACCATGTGGGAATTCAGTCCTGGTAATTTGGGGGGGAGCAGGTTTTGCTGGGTGCTGTGCACCCCTTGTGCTCACTTGAGTTGGACAGAGCTAAAGATTTTAATGCCTCTTCTGCAGAGCCCTTCAGAGCTCTACCAAGGCACATCCTGAGCCTCCTCACAGCCTGTATCAGTCCAAAACTCGTGCCTGGTCCAAAAGAAAGCTGCTCCCAAATACAAACACCACACAGCTTCCCTGTGGATCTCTGAGCCCATGGAGGCTCCTTTTCAACACTCACTTACCCAGGAATTTCAGTCCAGACACAAGAGAAGCAGTTCTCCAGTTTCTGGATCTTGTTGACTGATCTGAAGACTTCCATCAGGGCACGTGAATCCATGATGTTGTGGGGAGACCATGGAGGCTTGTCCACTTAATGCTCATCCAAATCCTAAATCCCTCTTTTAAGAGGAGCAGGCAAATCTGCCCTCCAGTTTCTCCCCAGATGTTCTGTATCCCAGCAGTCTGGGTGTTTTTTGGATGCATATGCAGTGGAGTTTTTAATCCCTTGAGGGTGTGATAGAAGCTGGAAGTGCCACAGCATCTTGGACATGAGCTCTGGCTGCTGGTAACTACTGTGTTAGATATGGGCATCAACATCTTCCCTCCTTCTGGGAATGCTTCTGGAGTGAAAAACATGTCAAACTCCACTCCTTTAACAAGTAGATGAGATCCCTTCTAGCAAAGGATGCCATCCCTGCTTCCCAAGAGTTGCATCCATATGCCTGAGTGCTGCAGGTTGACAGCTGCAGTCAAAGAAATGTAGACACTTTAAGACATTTTTCCCCCCACTGGATAGCAGAACATTCCTTGCTGTGCCCATATGGGCTTGGGATCATAATTTTGGAGTGACTGACTCAGCCTGTGTTACATGTCTTCGCTCCTAATTTGGGGCCTTTGCAGACACCCAATTAGCACCTTAATGCTTTAATGCATCCATCTCAGGGTTAAGCCCCACTGTCCAGGCTTGGGGAAGCAGGAGGGTGGACAAAGATGTAGGTGAGGGTGCAAGGCATGGGGACCCAGATCTCCTCAATCCTCCCAGGAAGCAGGAAAAGGCTTGGGCAGGAATTAATGCAGGACACTGGTGCTGCAGGCCTGGCTTCAGCTTCTGTGACCACAGGGTGCTCTTTGAGGATTGAGGGCTACTCAGCAGGAATGGGGCTCATCTGATGGAATGGGACAAGAGTGACTGTGCAGAACAGGGAGGCTGACAGAGCTGACTTGTCCTGGAAGCAGGGACAGGCCCAAAAGGCACACGTGGGAACGTGAGAACTTCAGGCTAAATGAAGAAAGTCACTTTTTACTCTGAAGGTGAGCAAAGAAGAGCCCAGAAAGGAGTGGATCTACATCCCTGGAGAGACTCAAACCTTGGCTGGATGTGGGCCCGAGTCAGCCCTGCTGGAGGCTGGGCTTCATGACTTCCACACGTGCTTTCCAACATAAGTGGTTCTGTTATTCTTTGCAAGTTTATGGGCCAGCAGTCAGAGCAAGCACGGAGAGTCTTAAATAAACTCCTGGAATCATTCTCCAGAGTCAAACAGGTCAGCTTCCAGTCCAGGAGTCTGTCCAGATTTACAGAAAGCAACCAAATGAGTTTCTTTGTTCTGGGGAAGGGCAGACCCGGACAAACACACTATGTCAACACCTGAGCTGAAACTTCCAGCCCTCACTTGCAATCCTCATTTCCCAGCAGGATAATGGCCCCTGGGCCACTCACAGCAATGGCATCTACCTGGAGCTGCTCCCCCAAACAGAGAGAGGGGCAGGGGCTGCTGCAGGACTCACTCACCCCTTTGGCATTCGTGAAGGCCACTCCAGAGAAGGCGTATCTGTCAACCACGATCGTGATCCCTTGGTGTAGCTTCTCTTTCATCAGTGGTCTGAAACCATGTGGGAGAAAAAATAATGAAGTTAGTTACACTCCTTTGTAGTGACAGAAATGAAAGGAGTTCCATCTAAAAAACCAAGTATGTCAGTATTACCAGAGATCACTGTCAGGGTCAGCTGTGATGCAGACAAAGAGCTGTTTGTATTCTCTGACAGGCATTAACCAAATATCCTTTCAAGACACCCAAATTCAGGGTGCCAAGGGCTGGGCACTGCTCTAGGCAGCTCCAGGGTTTACAGGCAAGATCACAACTGAACTGTATTGATATGAATGACCCTCTTTAGGTGGTGCAGTAGATTTGTGATACGCTCTGCCCCCTTTATTTACAATGACAGTTCTTATTAGAGCTCATTCATCTGCCTTACTCACAGTTTCCTTGTCACTGCCACTACAGCAGAGCCACAAAAGCTTTTCTGTAAAATGAGAACATTTTGCAATATAGGTTTCCAGGTGAAAACAACAGCCAACACCCACTTCCCCACCTCCACACACGAAGACTTGGGGGCTAAAGCAAGGACAGCCAGTCATGGCTGAACCCAGCCTTTGGCTTGAGGGGAAATTTGGGGGTAATTCCTTAACCATTGTCACTCACAGGGACTGCCTGGCAAAGCAAGGCCTCTTCAGGGAAAAGAGTAAATTCACAGTCTAGGCTGGTTCAGTCTCAGCTCCCCAGTTCTTTAATCCAGTATGG